TATTGGACATTATATCCAATTTTTGAATCACTTACCACTTAAAAATTTGTCTACAACATTTTACTTTGCTCATTTAGAATAGGTTTACAGAAACTGGATTACTAAGAAAAAAGTTGTGAACATTAATTTAAGTCCCTCCATACTTACTGACATGTTTCTCCATAAAATTGGTGGGACTCAACTTTGCATTATCTTTGGGCATATCTATCTATCTATCTATCTATCTATCTATCTATCTATCTATCTATGCTAAGTAAATCCATTTTTGAGAAAAAGTCAACAAATTGCTTTAAGTACTCATAAAAATTTCATGAGCAATTTTGCATAAAATGTGTGTTAATTAAGTTTATGGTTTCATTAGATGCAATAAGTAAAAGGTAGTCACTATTTAAGAAGAAGTGCTGTTATTCCCCTAAAATGTTAAAATTATAGGGAGCAGAGTTATTGGAAACAATGAGAGTAGTAGACTTTCTGAGCCAAAGTTAAGGTTTAGGAGAGAAAGAGCGGACATTAGACCTTGAGGAGGGTGAAGGTAAGGCTACTGATGTTGGCCCTGCTTCCCACAGTAGAAATGTTCCTGTCCATTGAGATGGCTGTGATGATTGTGGAAGTGGGTGCAAGAAGGGTACAGTGAGCAACAGCCAACAGGACCTGCTACTGGAAGCTTTAGCATTTGAAGATCCCACTCACATGCTTACAGAGCCTTGATCCAGTCAACATAACAGACCACCTTATCCAGTTTAGTAATGTTCTCCTTCTACTTTAAAGTCATACAATTTACTCCACTAAATAAGACCACTCAAGGATTTTTAAATAGTGGAATAGAGACAATTTAGTAGCCATCTCAAAACATAAAGTAAGGGTAAAACTGTGCTTCATACCATACATCAGAATAAGTTTCAGTTGAAATGAAGTAGAGAAAACTATAATTCTCAGAATAAGGAGAATCTTTTATATTATTATACAAACCTAGAAGCTATAAAAAGGAAATGATAGATTTGTTCCCAATATACAAATACCTGAGTGAATTTTAAAAATATCAAAAAAGCAACAGCAGAAAAGCAACATCCAAAAACAAATAAAGGCAAAAATATATTTTCTTATCATATCATAGGCAAGATATAGGAGGAGACAGTTCAAAGAAAAGGAAATAAAAATAAAAAGATTTTCAGTCTCATTCTTATTAAAA